CAGTTGAAGCAGCTTAAGAGCAACTTGATTGTGTTTCTACAGTTGAGGCTCTGTGCCAACAGATGAGGCACCTCCTCTTCTCCCAAGCCATGTTGATATGTTCCTCTGGTTAAAATATGGAACCTGCCCATGTCTGGCTCTTGGATGTTGCATGACTTTTCCTCTAGTCTTACTCCTTGCTGCTCACTCCTTCCAGGCTGTGTTTCTGCCTCTTTTGCTCCTCTTCTGGACTGTTGTTTCTCCCATGGCCCATTAGCAAAGCAGAACAAATGGAACTGAGTGTATGGGTGTTCACCACATCCATTGTGAGAAGCAAAAGGCTTTTTCTTTTGGATGTATCTTATCAGAAAGGTTTTTCTATTGACTGTCTCACCAGACAGGATTTGTGGTTAAATGTTCATTTGGTGCAACCAATATGGTTATCCTTATGGTCCTCTGTGATTGGCAGTGAGGCATCCCATTTTTACAGGTGTGAATGGTCCTGAAAACCAGAGATCTAGATATCTCTTGTGATGTCTGTGAATACAGAGGTGGGTAAGAAGACCACTCCAGCATCTGGGAAAGCAGGGCAGTGATGTGGGAGAGTTGCTTTGTGGTGACTGGTTTTGCCAGAGGATCTTTCTCAGCTGACACATCTTTAGCACACAGAGGGAACACCAGATGCCAAACTGCACGCAAGCACAAGCCAAGTCTCACCCCTTATCACCTGTGGATGGTAGGCAGGGATCGGTGGGCAGCAGGGTAAAGCCTTTTTCTGCTATGCTAGCTGTCCAGCAAGTCTAGGGTAGGGATTATACTGTGGGCAGGAGGGGTGTCTTCATCACTCTGTGCCACACAACTTGCTCCATAGCAGCATGCAGGGGCGAGGAACTAGAAGAGACTATGGGAAGAGAAACACAGCTAGGGGGTCCGAAGAGATCTCAGACCAAAGAATTGTATATGCAGTGAGCTCTAGGAAAGTCTCTGGAACATATTCCACTTTTCCTGAAAGCCTTTCTCCTTTTCACTCAGTCTGCATGAGATGACCCTATCTGTGAATGTACTGAGGAAGTTACACTGACAGTCACTCTCCTCAAGCTCCGCGGATAGTAAAGACACTTAACGGAAAAGTAGGAGAAAATACATATGGCTGGGTTCTTCCCTCAAAAAGCAAGAATTATTTGTGACATACCCTTGCTCCACATGCCTATCCCAAACTCTTTTCACTTTTATGCCTTCCTTGCCTCCACAGAAACACAAAGACAACTGAAACGAGGATAGTTGGAAAGGCCTCCGAAGTGTGGTTTGATTTCAGCACTAAATCTCCCCATGACGGCTCACAGTGGCACTGTATTGCCAATAGATTATAGGGTTGCAGCTATTTTTTACACAGGAGAACACACAAAGGAACCCCCACCAGTCCTAGCAGTGCTCTCAATCAAATAAAACCCCTTTAGCTTCCTGTTGCAGAGCTCTCTCTAGGATTCATGTATATTTTATCAAAGTTACAGGCAGTTCTGATACTTGTTTCTAAAGTGCTTTAGTATGAATCCCAAGATGTACTGAAATGCTGCAGTGGCCCTTTTTAAAAAATCAAGGTTAGAGTAGAGAAAAAATGAAATGGCTTGATTCCATAGCATGTAATAAGAGCAAATTCTGCTCAAAAGGCTTCCATTGATATAAATACGCAGAAGAAACACAAATATACATCTATATGAAATAATTTTGCTCCTTGTAATTGTACCCTGGGAGCAGCAGGAACAGAGGAACACCACAATTTCACCTCACATAAATGAAGGTCCTGCAATGATCTATAGCTATTTTTTTTTGCCAGAAGTGCTTTTACAAGCCAACACAAGTCAACACAGAAGAGCTATACCCTCACTGATAACTAATTACTGTAAAGATATTTAATAACAATCCAGGGAAAAAAAAAAAAAAAAGTGCTTGTATTTACCGGTTGGTATTTTTGCATTTTTTATTTTATATCTTAAGTCAAGCTGTGAGGAAAAAAAAATACAATGATATTCTCAGAAGAAAAGAGTATGTATTTTTTAAGCTGAATTTCATGACTCCTTTGTCTTTCAGGCATTTGCAAATTTTAGGTCAAGAAGGATGGACAGAAAGCATGTTATGGCTACAGTATAATAAGGCATTTAGGTTGAAGTCAGCAAAAGCCAGCATAGTGGAGGGGTGATTAAAAAAAAAAAAAAGAATTCATTTTGTATGTAATAAAGCTTTAGTACTTACAGCTGTCCTCTTCTTCAGTAATACATTTCACCACATAACAGGCATAGATGAAGCCGGCCAGCTGAAACAAAATGTAATAGTATTAGATGTAAAGCAAATACAATAGAAAAACAAGAGTTGATTTTAGAAAATCAACAACAGAAAAAGAAATAACAAAATTTACAAGACTTTGATCAGGTAATGATAATTCTTCACAACAGTTTGATAATTTTAGTTGGAAATAGGGGAATATTTAATCTTTTGTAAAAAACACTCTTTAATAAAACTTCCAAAAAATTGATCAAAAATTTTACATTACTGAATTGACTTTTTTTTAGTGATTGAAAATCAGAAAACCAAACGGGTTGTTGGATGGATGGACTTTTAACTACTGAAAATGTAAAGACAATTAAAAACTGGAGTGTTACTTGAGTACCATGGCAGATTGCTCATGTTACACTATCACCTGAAGAAATTAAAAAAGGGAATAAATGGCCAATATCACATATGCCATGGGCCAAGTTATCTGGTAGGTCTTCTGCTATTCCCTGCACCAAGTTCTGTCATCACTGAGAAGTTACACCAGAATCGACAGAATAAACACTGAAGCAGTAACATGTGACAGATGTTGCATGCTTTACATGGCTTCCCTTACATGTAGGTCTGGAGAGTTTTCTCTACTGATTGCCAGCAAATAATTTTTCATACTTTAGCTCATCACTGAAGTCTGCATGGTAGGAAGTCAAAAGAATTAGGGTTGTTTGATCTCTTTGTACTGAAAAGTGAGCTGTGCTGTCGAAATGTGTTATTGTGTACAGGTCATCTCACAGAGATCTTTTCATGAGCTGCAAGCCCAACTGTAGACTTTGGGAATTAGTTCTTTAGAAGGGTAATAAAAATGCCTTAAGGCTCCAGTCAGAACTGAGTTCTCTGTGTGTGTGGTGCAAAACCCATAATCTCCATCTGAGGGAGACGATGATCCTAATTTCAGACAAAGTAATCAGTGGGTCAGACAATAAAAAGGGTGAAATCTGAGAAGACCATGTATTGTTATGAATGCTGGCTAGTGAAAATGGATTTTTTTTTTAATTATCCAAGGCACACCTACAATCATAGCAGTATTGTGGGTTCTTAGAGCCCTTATACATGAAATGCAAACAAACCCATTCTGTTTCCTAGTGCTTTTACACCTGAGGCAGTGACTGTACCTAATTTACTCCAGCTCTTACACAGTTATTCCTGGCATTTCTGTCAGTTTTCTATATAGAAAGCTCTCCATGCCTGCAAATGCTAGCTTCTAACATCTATGGGTGAGAGAAGGCTAAAGGGAAAAAAAAGGCCAGTCCCAAGACTTTTCCGGAGAGATCAAGACTTGATTTGGAGATCACACTGCAGCCAGCAGAGATGTTGTCTGCTAACTGCCTCAGTTCCCGTTGGGAGCCCAGAAGCTGCATTATAACAGAACCAAATAATTACTTTTGTCATTTATTATAAGTCTGCCTTATAGTGCTTCTGGGAAGATTTTACACCAGGGAAGGATGATATACTCACCACTGGACACAAAGAACACACTGTACCAAGAACAGTCGCATTCAGCTAATATGAGCGTTTCATTTCTGCTTTACTGGATCACACTTTCCTTTGGTTTCTTGGCTTCAAGACAGAGGGCTAATTTGCTCCACTGACTTATGCCCTGCATAACCCCATTGACTTCAGTGACATTACGTGAGGTTTAATTCAGCAATGAATTAGGCCCAGAAAGGTTGTTCATAAATGATTCCCTTCTTGGATGTGAACCTTAGCTTAATAGTCTCTCTGTTCTCTTTTTACAGACCATCAGATCCAAGATAGCTGAATAGTTGCATCTGTAGTAGGCTGCAGTGGCACAGCTTTTCTTGCAATACAGTTCAATACTTTGCTAAAACACCACAAGTTCACATGTTATTAACTAAACTCTCACAAAGCACAATGAACAAACTGTATCACAAACTATGCTTACAACTGATCTTTTAATTGTATTCAGTTGTGTCTCTTAAATGCCTAGGGAACGCCTTTGATATATAAGTAAATCCTACAGCATTTCATCAGATGAGCTTGCTGATTAAAAGAGTGACTTAAAGTTAAAAATTGTTCTGTTCTAAATACAAATGGAAGTTTGTTTCCCATGAGATAATCAGGGTTCATAAAATAAACCTCCCCTTCTCCCACATTTATCCAGCCATTTGCTTGGTACACATAATAATTTCGGTTTACTTTGAACATCGCATTAGTTTTTTGGTTTTAATTTTTTTTTTTTTTTTTAACCAAGCAATTTGTCAGTTCTGATCCAGTGATAACTATTCAAGATTTATCTTCTAACTGCACCAGCAGCAGAGGGCACACACTCAGAGCTGGGGTTTAGAACCAGAAGTGGTAGTCTTTACTTTGAGGATTCTCAATGGCTTGAGCCTGTGGTGTCTACAGAGACCTCTGCCACAGAGACTAGGAACATGCTGCCTTCCCCAATATATGAGGATTTCCTGTAGGAACACATATATGCATGGGGAGCTAAAATTGTTAATGAATTCCCACATAGATGAAGGGCCCTCACAAAATTTATTATAGTGCAAGGTGCATTTTTGTGATGTTGTTTCTCTAAGAAAACCACACTGCAACATACCTATGAACAATACAAAATAGATTCCAAACAGAACACTTAGCTGAATACACTCCTCCCCCTAGAAAAGAAGATGAGACAAAAAGCCCCAACAAACCCAAATGACAAAGGTTAATATATTCCTGGGAAGCCCTTAAAAACAGCAGTGCTGAGTTCAGTATAAGAATTACACAGAGCAGAGTCTTCCTGATTCAATATCTCAGACAGATTTTTGCCTTGTGTGAGAAGGAAGGGAATGAGTCCTCAGAGACAGAGAAGGAGCCTGACTCAGAAAAACAGTTTAAACTAGGAATGCTAGCTTTGTTGCTTTGCATCCCTTTTTGTTTTTTTTTGGGGTGGTGGTGGTGGGTGTTAAATGAACCAAGATTTCTTTTATAAATCATGTACTGATAGAAAGATATAGGTGCAATGAACAGGAAACCAGTTCTGGATCCCAGACACATCCAGATTAGGTGTCTACTTCTATCCCATTCCCATTTTAATGTGGGCTTCCAGAGGAGAAGGAACCATTAACAACACGCCTGCTCATTTATACATATAATGATTTATACATGTAGTGATCAGTGAATGCATGTTTTTATGAATGTAGTTTTCTGCAGCTTGAAAAAAAATTACTCTTTAAAACTTTCCCTGATATGTCCATATGAGAGTATAAATGTTCACTGCTCTTTCTAAAAATGACACATTACCCATCCCTGCACCAGCTAGGGTGTTATTCTGATGACAGCTGATGACCATTTTTATATAGAATGATCTCAAACACTTGTTATTTTTTAAAAATTTTTTTAAAACTCTAAACACCTTGATAAAACCATCATTACTTCTGCCAAGGAAAAAATGAAGACAAGCAAAAGCCTAAAATAAATTAGCAATATAACAGCACTACTGAAGGTTTGGAAATGGAGATTAATTACAGAATTAAGTTAATGCTTCTATCGCCTTATGATAGCCATATAATGTAAACAAAAAAGTAGACAGAATATTCCCTATCAAGTTGTCAGTGTCCCATTACACTGCTAGAGAGCCTTAGCAGATCCTGAGTCTTCTGTGAGTGTACTTCCAGACTTGCTCAAAATGTCAAGCTGTGATCAAACTTAATCAGAATCTGTATTGATCAGAAACCTGTCTTGCCATTTTTTTTCTTACTTCTTTTATGGAGATGAATGTTTTCATACACTGCAAATAGCACCAGATTTTGCAAAAAAGCTATTATATGAAACCCCATCTTTCCTGGTCAAGGTCCCCACCTTTCCCTCTTTTAAAGAAATATCTATATTAGAAGTTATCTTTATTAAGCTGGGCACTTGAAACAAAAGAATGACAGCAAGAAACGAAAACTAAAAGTGGGCAAGATCTGTGTGGGATTAAGGTGATGAGAAGGGTTAAGATGAAGATTAATGAGTTATGGGTTGTGGAAATAGTACATGGCCTTGGCTTCACTGAATGAGTGTGTTTCAGTCTATAACTGGACTTTGTCAAGAGAAATGTACTTTAGACTTAAAAAACACAAAACCATCGTGTTTTCTTATGGAGAGGTGTTACAATATCTTCTGGAACAGCTGAGGCCTGTGTATTTACTTTTCATTATTAAGTTTTTGCAGGATTCTACAAATACTGTACTGATTCTACAATACAGGTTTTAAGACCTTAGCAAAAAATAGGCTAGTTCAAGCAATAATAGTGTAGAATTACATGGAGGTTAATTTTGGCCTTGGGAACTTTATATTGTGAAGCTGTGATGTTATGTGTCTACCCATGTGCAGTTTAGTCATATTTCTTAAGCTTACAGGGGGATGCACATATAAAACCTTTCTAATGCTGTGCATTTAAGGAACAGTGTTTCTTTAAATTGGATTTTTGGAGGTTGGAGATATATATATATATATATATATATATATATACACACATTATGAGCAACTGAAGAAGTGGAGAATTACTATCTAGAAAGCTTCCAGTGTATTGATTCACAGAAAAATCATACTCATTATTTTGCAGAAAAGGTGAGACAGAGACCTTTCTCTCAATATCTGTAAAATTAAGTCAGTGTCATGGGGGTTCTAAAGCTGCCCCCTGCAAAAACCCTTTCAAGCATGATTTCACTGCCTGCAGCAGTGCCACATCACTGAGTGAACATCATTGCTAGCGTTTAATATAAAACTCCAGCTATGTTCCATGGAAACTACTCTGTTGAGGTACGCTTTTATTTGTGCTTACATTTAACATGATGAGAACTCTGTCATTCCTCCAAGTTTAACTATCTTTCATCATAAAAGGAACACTGGAAAACTATTGATATCAGGCCAGATTCCTGATGGGGAATGTAGACTGTGTGGTCTTGCAAACATTCTTCTACAGAATTAACTATCTATGTGTTGTCTGGAAATAATGAATCATTAGTATGACCAAGTAGCTTTATTCTGTGCAAT